GGGGCTGCCCCTGAAGAGTGTTCGAAGACTACAGTTGGTCCAGAATGCAGCCGCACGAGCGATACACCCATGTTACACCCATCCTTCGCGAGCTGCACTATTGGTCTCCGAACGCGCTTCAAGGTGCTAGTCGTTACTTTTAAAGCCCTACATGGTTTAGGACCCGGCTACCTGAGAGACCGCCTTCTGCCACATACCTCCCAACGACCAATAAGATCTCACAGGTTGGGCCTCCTCTGGGTGCCGTCGGCCGGACAATGCCGGCTGGCGGCCCCCCGGGGGAGGGCCTTCTCTGTAGCTGCGCCGGCCCTGTGGAATGATCTACCTGTAAAGATCTGGACCCTTACCACTCTCCCGGCCTTCCGTAAAGCCACCAAGACCTGGCTGTTCCGGCAGGCCTGGGGCTGTTGATTAATGTCCAGCCCCACTTAGACAGAATGGATGGTGTGTAGTTTTTAACAACTGTATTTTCTAGTTTTAAATTTTTAAATGTTTTTATCTTGCTCTGAGTCCCACGGGATTGGGCGGCATACAAATTCTATTAAATTCTAATTCTAAAATTTAAATTCTAAATTCTAAAAAGAAGTTTTATGAAACTAAATGTCTTTCAACATTTCTCATAAAATGCTGCAAAGCAGGAGGGCTGAGGTTTTGTCTGATTTTAAAAGAGCACATTCTATATACTATGAATAAACCCAGGTTTATTGCACTTATTTGTTCTGTGCAAATCTAGAAATACCTTTTAAAGAAGAATTAATGCCCTAAAAGTGGCATTGTTGTGCATTCAAAATGGACTTTTCCTCTCTCCACTATCCTCAATTTTGTGCCTCTTCTTGTAAATTTGCCAGCATTTGAATTCCAACATGAACTACCTGACTCTAGAAAAAGACAACTGGGATCCTCCTCTTACCTGCTTGCATACTCTACACCAGGAGTAAGTGAGAATTGTATGCTGATATCCAGGCACTGGAGAGTCCAATTCCTTCAATATGATCTGTACACAGCCTTGTCCATGGACGAAGCGACGGATGTGGTGCACCATTGGTGTTTCACAGAACATATTTGGGCACTGGTAGGAGGGCCTTCAAGCAATAAAAGAATAATTGTGAAAAGTTTAGTTCTTTTGATCTGATGTTCTGTAGCAATGGTTCTTAAACCATCATATCCTTCATTAACTCATCAGTTCATTCATCACCTGCTCACAATCTCCATCAGCATGTTCCTCCTGTTCATTGCTAGTTAGTTGGCCACTTAAGCCTCATGGTTAATAAATACTTAATTTTGCATTACAATGCTTGATGATGAGCCTTTTGAGATGGAGAGGTTGGGAAAGGCAAACAAAAATGTAAGCTCTCCACTGACAAACAAGAACTTCCACGCTTTTAAATGTGAAAAAAAGGGGAGTGTTTGTTTAATTGGGGGGGAGTGCCTGCATTTTCCAAATATTTATTTAGTAGTCCATGAGCACAGAAACTTTTGAGAAATCCTGCTGTATTTTACTCCTTCTAAGGAAATGAATGGTTAACTTGCTATTATCATGGCATGGAACATCCATGTCTTGTGTTGTATTTCCCGGCGCGACAAAATGGCGAAGTCGAAAGCGCGCCCACTAAAGCGCGTCAACAAATGCGCGCCGACAAAAGCGCGCCATCAAAAACAACGTGAAAACAACGGTAACAACATTAACAACCCTAACCCTTACCCTAACCCTAACCCTAACCTAAAAACCCTAATCATGCTTTTGTGGGCGCGGTTTAGTGAGCGCGGTTTAGTGAGCGCGCTTTCGACTTCGCCGTTTTGTCGCAGCGGTTTTGTTGGCACGCATTTGTCGGGCGCGCATTTGTTGGGTCACGGTTCTGGATATACAAGCAGTCATTTAGCAACTGGCTGAAGTTAAAACTTAGGACCCAGATTCGTTCTGATGTCCATCTCCCCTTTGCAGTGACAAGACTCAGCAACCAGTCTGCATTTATGGCAGTTTGCAGTATTCTATAGTCATGGGACCACAATTTACATCCCCCCCCCCAAAAAAAAGCTGAATTTACTTCCAGTTTCTGGGGAAAAACAGCTCATAGCAAACAATGGATTTGCTTAATAACTGCTGCATTCACTCTGTGATCACCACCTTTGCTTTACAACTATCACCTTCACTCAACAATTGCCACAAAGGGGCCACAAATCAGGTGCAGTCACATGATGAGCTGCTTATCTACTATCAGACTTATGACTGAAACTGCGGGTTCAATTATGGCTGCAAATCAAGGACTACCTGAACATCTCTGCAACCTCCTCCTATTTCTTTTTAAACTTTACCCCAATAAACCGGTGTTTTACACTGCCCTGCTATATTTATAATTTATTTCCATGCCTTTGAATAGTACCTGAAATAGTTCAAGTTCTACAACCTGCAATACAGCAATAATAATTTTAAAAGATCCATGAGTATAAACTGCAGATCATTATTTAAATCAGAACATAAGCATTATTTTTTTAAAAAAAAAA